AAGACTCTTAGATGGCTAAAGACACAGGCCAAGATGACGCCCAAGTTGACTAGATGGGCTGCTGAGATATACCAGTATGACTTTGAGTTCAAACCCGTCGAAGGCAAGTATAACGTGGTAGCTGATGCGCTAAGTAGGAGATCTGATTACTTCGGCGCAATAGTGTACTATCTAGACATAGGGGCCAATCTGCAGCAGAAAGTAAGAGATGCCTATGCACAGGACCCGATCTATAGTGAGCTGCTGAAAAGAGTAAGGGAAGCCCCAAATAGTGAGCCACACTACCGGACCACGAACAGGCTACTATTTAAGAAGACTAATGTCGCTGACAGACTATGCGTCCCCAATAGCGAAGAGATCCGCAGCCTGATCTTAGGGGAATGCCACGATACAGAAGGGCACTTCGTATGGCAAAGACTCTAGCTAACCTGATGATGTCATATAAGTGGCCAGGCATGAAAGCAGATTGCATAGAGTATGTGCGTAGCTGCAAGGTATGTCAGCGGAATAAAACTACAACCAGAGCCCCGCTAGGTCTTCTGAGACCCTTGCCTATTCCGTCAGGACCCGGAGATTCAGTTTCCATTGACTTCATGGATACTGGGGTCAAGAGTAGGCACGACAAGACTCAAGTCATGGTCATAGTAGATAGGTTTAGCAAGTATGCAGTATTTGTTCCCCTGCCTTCAGAGGCACATACAAACTTAGTCATTAGTAAGTTTTTCGACTTCTAGGTAAGCGAGCATGGTATGTCGTTGTCCATAGTCAGTGATAGGGACACGCGGTTTACTAGTCAGAATTGGCAGGATCTTATGAAAGTCTATGGGTCTAAGTTGTTGATGTCGTCAGGACGACACCCAGAGACTAATGGCCAGACAAAGCAGATGAATAAGATCTTGCAACAACTACTTAGAATGTATATTAGACCAGATCAGATAAACTGGGATGAGATGCTTCCCAAAGTAGCAAGTGCCTACAATAATAGTGTTCATCTAGCTACATGCAGGACTCCTAACGAGCTACATAAGTCCTTTAGACCAAGGCGACCGTTTGAGGGACTAAACCGGGACCAGATACACAGACTACCACCCGACACACAAGAGTTTGCGTTACAACATGAGCAGGAAGTCATTAAGGTCATAGACAATCTGAGAAAGGCCCAGCATCGGATGATAGAGCAAGCTAACAAGCACCGCCGACCTTCACCGTTTCAGGTAGGCGATCTAGTCTGGGTCAAGTCAAAGGAGTTCGCACCTGAGGAAAACATCATCTCGCAGAAACTCTTACCTGCGTATAGAGGACCGTGGCCTGTCCTAGAAGTCAAAGGAGGAGAGGACAGCCCGTCATATATTATAGAGATTCCAGCACACCTCCACACGTACCCAGTCTTCCATGCATCTAAGTTGTTACCCTGCACCACATCTGACAAATTCCCTTCTAGGAGATCGATGATTCCGCCAGACATGGATGGTGCATATGATATTGGATCACATAGTGGAAGAGGACGTGTTTAGGACAGGAGGTCGAAGTCGTCCCCAGAAGCAGTATAAAGTTCGGTTCGCATACCAGGAACCCGAGGACGACCGATGGTTCACAAGAACAAAGCTTTTGGAAACCGCTCCCGACATAGTACACGCCTATGAGCGGATGTACTGCGGTTTCCTCTCATAGGCGTGTACTATGCCTATGAGAGGGTGGTCGCCAGAGCTTTGAAGTCCCTACATCCGCAGCTTAGAAGTAAAGATAGCTGCAATACATGTTCTAAGTCCAGAGAGAGGGTGGTTGCAAGAGCACAACGTCAACCAGAGACTGCCATGGTGGTTGAATTTTGGAAGGGCTCGTAGGGAGAGTAGAGCTTCGGCGGCGATGCGTTGGTTGGAAGAAGACTGCTCTTGGCTTGTGTGATAAGGTGGCAATCAATGGTGGCCCCCCACCATTGACGGGTTGCGCTGATGGAAGAAACCTAAGGCTCTAAGCTTGATTTCTGCGATGGGTAGGTAGGAGGAAGGCTGCTCTTGGCTTGTGTGATATGGTGGCAATCAATGGTGGTCCCCCACCATTGACGGGTTGTGCTGATGGAAGGAAGCTAAGGCTCTACGCTTGATTTCTGTGATGGGTAGGTTGGAAGAAGGCTGCTCTTGGCTTGTGTGAAGGTGTTTTCATTGTTAAAAAGGTTTCTTCATGTGTATGGTTGTCCAAGGCTCTAAGCTTGATTTCTGCGTGCGTAATGGACTGTGTTCTATGGGTGAATCTCTGTGTCTGCTCTCATACATAAGGCTGAAGTTGCCGTTCAGTCTCTATCCCTTCCTCTGCTTCTCGACTCCGTTAACTAGTGCCTAAAAATGCCACCATCATCTTCGGGCCTCCTCCTCCTCCTCTGCTGTTGAGGAGGGTATAGGTTTCCAACTTCTGATCAACGGGAGGAAGGCGCCTGGAGAGGGGCTTAGGGCCCAACCGCATACCCCAGGTCTGAACCACCACCATCATGGGTCTCATCACCAAAATCCCACAACCAACCCCGCTCCTCGTCCTCCAGATCCCAACTTATTCCTTGGGATGCCGCAAAAGAAAAAAACACGAAAAAAAGAAAAGGAAAGCGAAGAAATCCTGATAGCGATTAGTTGGGCTGGTGTTGTTTGCTCATTAACACTGGATAATTTGGTTGTATTCGCGACCACAGACGTTGATGATCACAGAAAGTTGAAAAAAAAGGTGCCCCTTTTGCACTAAGAGCATACACTGAGGGCCAGGACTTTGTCGCCCATGCAGCAACTGGCGACGACCCGCGCCGAGGTCTCCTGGAGGTGCCGGCTTTGTGCCGGGCAAAGGAGCAGCTAGACAGGAGGGTCCCTGCCTCCGCACGAGGGGACATGACAGAGAATGAGAGATCCTTTTGACTGAGTGGCACAAGCTTCTGTTCGTACCCTCATTGTTGCTGACATCGTCAAACAAGCTCAGAATTCGGCCCGATTGGCCTGCGGCATAATATGAAGCTCGATCTTGATGCACGACAATGAGAGTCAGCTAGGGTCCATGGTTTTAGCAGGGCTGGGACAAAACTCCAGCTTGGAGGCTAGGTCGACATCCCGCAGATTGACAAATCTTCGGGTTATGGGATGCCGTAGATCGACGTCTTGCAGACGGGTCTTCAACCCTTAGGTAGCAATGGCGGCAAACTGGGGCTCAGGGTTTTGGAAGAGCTGGGATAAAACCCCTGTCTGGCGAGGTGATGGAGTCGGTGGCTAGCAGACGGACGGAACCTGGGTCTAGGGACACTGTAGGGTTGATGTCCTGGGGAAGGGTCTTTGGGCCGATCGGGTCCAGGGATAGGATAGGATGCCAGGGTCGGGCGTTTCGGACCTGCCTCGAACCACAGCAGGTGAGACTGTGTACAGCTCTCAACGTATCAATTGTCATTCCTTGTACAAGGGACACCGGGCCCGGTTCCCAGCAGGTGCCGCTCCCCACCAATGGAAAGGAGCCATCCACCCGAGGGACTCGATCCTGCCGGTTCTCTTACCACCACAGGATCGCAGCCCCTGCACCAGATGTTTCCGCCCCCCCAC